GTATTGTATTTTTTAGTTAACTTATTACAACATTCATTTGGCAGTCTGCCAAATGAATGTCTGTATTGAACACATGTTTACATGGATATTCTCTACTTCTGATGAATTCAGAATAGTATTGAGTTCCACCAGTTTCTATCAATAATGTAACATTATGATCAAATGCCAGCTATAAACTTTCAGATGTTTGTCTCAGTCAAAATTAATTATCTTCTTTGATAATTTTTCTAATTCAAGACTTTCTTCCCCTGTGCGTTTTGCATAATGTTACATTAAATCAAACAATTTGGTTTTGGATGTTTCGTTTATCAATTTCGAGCAGTCACAAAAACTTGAATGTTCCCCAGCGTTCTGTTTGAACCTTCCGACGCTCGTAGTCCTGCTAATGATTCTCTCCTCTTTTTCTTTTGTCTTTCAGTCACAAGCTACTCTGCTCTTGTTTTCTCTTTCTCCTCCACTCAATATTTCATGGCATTGTAAGTGCATCTTCTCTGGATGTTCCCGTGCCCTACCACCCGCCGACTTGCACAACGCCACATTGTGCCTCGACTCCGCTCCACTGCTTGCAACCCTGAGAGTGTGGTCTCAAAATAACAGGCTTTGAATTCAACATCTGCTGGAAAATCAAAACTTTTGACCGAAGAAAACCTCTCGCAGTCAATGTTCCAAGAGGCCCCACAGAGAACAAGTGACTTTCAGCCAAACGTTTCTTGTGGTTCCTCTTAGTAACTTGCCTAAACGGTATAGAAGTAAGATAATAAATCCAGATCAGTGTTGTTATAACTGATTGAAGGCTTTTACAAGGACATCCGCTCGTTCTGTTGGTGTGCTGTCGTTGCTCGCAGACTCATTTGGAGGAGAGTCACCAGTTGACACAGTAAACTCGATAAACCGACACACTGGCGAGCCGTCCCACGCGGTGACTGGCGCCGGACGGTGACAGACGTTGCCAATGTATTGCACTCACTTACTAAGCAGATGGATCTGGAGAGTCCAATTTGTTCAGGTTGAAACAGTGATCTTTGTGGTTAATGCTCGATCACACTGACGTGCGTCAGTTCTCTCCATCTCGGGAAATCCACTTAATATCTTACAGCAACTATTCCAGTTAAGACGTATTCATTCCATGCAAGGGGCTCCTTGAGGACAGAAATGGACGGACTGTTGCCAAGTTCTGAACTTTTGTTGCTGTCCCGAACCAACGATCCAATACTACGATTGGCCGTGTGTACGGAGGTAAGAAAGAAAGCATAGTTTCACCTGGTCTCTTTGTTCTCTTTTTCACGTATTTCTTTGCACGAGCACTTCCATCTTCTTTTGTAGGTACAATTTACTTCGGATGTTCACCTCATCTTTCAGGGACGCTGCTCCCCGTGTGCTTGGACAACTTGCCGCATGGACACGTTTGTTTTTGTTCCAATCAAGCTTTTTAGACCAGTGAAGTTTTTTGTGTAGCCTGCAACGCATTAAAACGGCTTTAACTCAGTTTACTCCAAACATCATCCTGCTGTTTCATTTCCATCTGTGCCTCTAAACAGATTGTCCTCAGAGTTCATCTCCTCGCTCCTGCAGCACCTCTGTCCTTTACGACCATTTGCTCAACACATCCCCGGAGGCCCGGCCCTTCACAGCGTCCATTTCCGGGGGCGCTCCCTTTTCATCACTTGCCCGACGCCGAGGAACATTGTGCTTGATTGCGTATGGCAGATGCCATTATCCTGGGCTTATATCTTAGCAATCACGTTAGCTATTTGCACAGCTGGGTACTCACTGAAGCGAGGCAGGTTAAGCGCCACACTCCAGGGGAGAGGGGGGGGTGGGGGGGAACGATGGAGGCCCAACTGGAGCTTGGGCAGGACTCTCCTCAGCACCATCCCATTACCAACAGCACTCTTGGCCTTTCTTCCATTTAGCTAATGCCTCCACGTGCCCCTGTCCACCTCCAGTCCCCACACGCCTCAGGTCCCCATACACTCCCGTCTCCTTTAACCCTCCCCACCTCCCTCGATTCCTGCTCCGTAATGTCTTCCTTCCTCCAGCCTCGATCAATCCGTGACCCCGCTGGCTCTCTCGATTTCTTCTTCTTTTACTCTTACACTTTCTAAAACATCTTATTCCTTACAGTTTTCATCCATCCCTCACCGTGTCACTTGTGTTCTGGTGGAGTTACAGCACTGCAAAATGCAAATTAGAAATGAAAGAAGGAAACAAAGGAGCCTGATGGTAAAGTTATCTCGATGCTGAGCAGGCGAGAAGCATCTTTTAATGCACTGTTACTTCCACACATATGTTTATTCGTCTGGTTCTTCCAGTTCAAAGGCCTGTTGTTATTTTTGTCACACCCACTTTATATTCACGTTTTGACATTTCACTAGATTAACTAATTAATCAAATGAATTGTGGTTTACTGACACCGCCACCGGACATAAAACTCAATCAAGACAACCACATTTTACACCATGAACATTAAAGCTTAGATTAGTCTGGAGTGAGACATGGGGAGAAGGGGAACAGATGGGTTTAGGAAATTAGAGATTGCGCAGATAGAAGCCAAGAGAAAGAAAAAAGAAATCCCACTGAGGAAGAAAAGCAGCACATTTTCTTGTGGAATATTGCTTACGCCAGTAATGAAGTCAGTTAGGAAATCAATATGAAGTCAACAAGGATATATGAAAGAGCTGAGGCTGATTGATGATAGCAAATTATCTGAATAATCAATAAGCCCATCGCTGCTGTTCATGAATTCATCTCGAGCGGAGCCGGAGTCGAGGTAACGAGCCGTTAGAACAGTCTATAGTGAAAAGAAAGACGGTTCTGCTGCAGGAGCATAAACAGCGCATCACACGGTGCAAAGAACAACTGTGTTCAATAACTTATGACGCTGGTAAGCCTCATTCAGTCGCATGTTACAAGTGCACACTCAGTACACACAAAGCACGTCATAAATATGCATGTGCGCCTCTGCCGGTTGAGACGAGGAGCAGAAAACGTATTAACTGTCACTCCTCTGTGTTTTTTTGCCAGTGTGCGGTGGGCGCATGCAACAGGAAGCAAGAGATCATCCGATGATGAATAAAAGGAGCAATATGCTTCTTATTTGCAGCTCTTCCCTTCTGAGTGTGAGGCAACAAAAGGATGACAAATGTTAGCGGACGGAGGCGAGTGAGTCCACTGCAGCCACACACAAAGGTGGTGGGACAGAGAGACAGAGAGACAGAGAGGGGGAGAGAGAGGGGGAGAGTTGGGGAGGGAAAGACTGGAGGAAAAAAAAGTGATGGTACTCGTTCTTTTATCCGCGCCTTTACTCCAGTCGCCACGGCAACATGCCTGCAGGGCACTCAAGAGAGGCGTCATCACTGACAAAAACAACGGAGAGGCAGGAAGTGTGCATGAAGAGAAAACGAGGGAGGAGGAAGCACGGCGGCAGATCCACAGCTGACTACACCCCCCCTTACTCACGAAAGTGTACGCACGACCTTCAGGGACTCAGGGCTGAGAAGTGTAATGAACACTCGTTCATCACTGGAGGTCATTCAGATTAATGTTTGGATCGCCTGGCTAAAGTTTCACCAACAGCGTCTACACGGCCACATTCACGGGTGTGAATATCACTGATATCCCCCCTAAAAAGGACGCTATGACGAGATATGAAATTGGCAGAGTTAATCAAACCGAGGCTAATGCTTAATATTCGGAATTAACTGGGCCATTAATACTGCAGGCTGCCGTTAGGCTAGATAGAGTGGTTAAACCACCACGGGCAAAATTAAACAGGTTAATTAAAGTCTCCAAATTTTCATGCTCTCTCCCTCAGTCTGTGTTAAGTGAGAGACACACGCACACACACACACACACGCACGCACGCATGCACACACAATCACTCACACACGCGTGTTGTTACTATATACTCGTAATGACTTTCCATGCGCCGACTGCATTCATTTTCTAATATTAATCTGAATCCTAGCTCTAACTTTAACCCTTACTCCTGCTGAATCGCAAATAATAATTTCTCCAAAATCTTACACCAGCAGCATAAAGAATGAAGTCTTTCATAAAAAGAAAAAGGAATCTCACACGAGAACATGAAAAACAACTAAATCTGTTATCCGGTGTAAATTGGTGCTGAATTGCTGATACGATGCTAGCATGGCTAACGTTACACTCTTCACTGTAGCATCTGCCTGGGAGCTGATGATGTATCGGCACATGTTGTTATTGTGCAGGTCATGGTGATATTCTATTGGATCGGTGCATATCGACTAGAAGCCAATTCCCGTTCCAGTATTTTAGGGTGCATCCAGTGGCATCAATATCAGAAAACAACTTTAATTAGAAGGCCTCGGTAAGCTGAACAAAGTAGATTATCGAGCGCATTCTCCTGCTTGTGATTAGACCTGCTGGACCTCACGATGGGCCCTGACCAATCATAGCTCCCCGTCTTTCATGCTCCCAAATTGGGCCTTTATTGAGTTATCATGTAATCTAATCCCAGCGCTCTTTACCACCATGGAGTTGTTTTTTTCCCTTCGTTTGTCTTTTCTACATCAAACAGCTTCCCCTTTCTTGGTTGTTGACAAAAATATGAACAGTGTGCTTGTAATTAACCACGCTCATGATTAAACGGTGATATTGAGTCATCACAGCTGGGGAGGATTTGAGTCTTTTTAGTTTGTTCCCAGTATAATCCCAAAGTAAACCCTGAACTTTATAGATAGATAAAAATGTGTCCTGTGCTGTTTTATTTAAATAATGACACCCTACTAAATCTCACCTCAAACAAAACATTACACTGCATGCGGTTTGTAATTATTATGATAATCTCAAACCCCAAACCCTCACCTTTATGACTCGATTTTTTTAGTGCATATTTTGAGGGGGCGGGGCCGCAGCACAGACCGACCCGCGAGCGCATCTCGACCATCAGAGGGCGGGTTTGTAGAGTTGGAGCGCGCGGCGTGGTGCTGCTGCTGCTGGTGGTGCTGGTGGTGCTGATGCTGATGCTGATGCTGAGGGGAGCGCACGGTGCACCGGTCCTTCCAACGGCGACCCGGCGGCTTCAAACCAGACTCACGAGGCTCAGCTGCGAAAGTGAAAGTCCAGTGTGTTGGATTCAGCGCAAGTGAAGATGCACAAATGGCTCTCGGAGCAATGGGATTCGAGTTGAGGAACACGTAATCACGCCGAAGTCTCCCCCCCCCCCACCCCCGTCCCCCAAATCCGCCCGAACCTACTCATCGTAAAGGTAACCGGGAACTTTTTTTTCTTCTTCTTTTTTGTGTCGACCGCTGGGATGTTGTGAGCGACAGCGTGCATCCCGCAGCAGAAGGAGACGGGGAAGGAGCGGGGAAGGAAGCAGGGCGGCGGAGGCGCACCGGAGGCGCACCGGAGGGGGATTATGGCTCTCGCGGCGTTTTCGCTCAGCCTCGTCACGCTGGCGCTCACCAACTCGCACCTGACGACCGCCAACGACCGACACGGCGTGTACTGGAACAGCTCGAACCTACAGTGAGTGGATCTCTACGCAGAGTTACCCCCCCCCCCCCCTCCACTTCCCTCTTTGTCCCTCCAGGGAATTGTGCCGATAACTTGTTTACAAGATGCGGGGGGGCCTTTGCAGAACTTTCCCAGATATTTCCCCCTGCTTTAAGATAGTCAACCTGGTATGTCTCGGGCTGTATATGTTCATCTGGAATACTATTTTGAGCCTCGCATTTTCTCATTTAATCCGAGTGCGTAAAGTGGCAGGCTCATGGGGGGGCTCTCTAAATATTCTCATTTACTTTTACGCCTTACAGCATTTGTCTACATTCTGCTTCAGAGAAATGTCTCAGTCGTCTCTTCATTTGTCTGCTTACCAGCAGCACGAATACACAACTCAAACTTAGTCGTGTGCTCGCGGGTCGGTACATGTGCGCTCACTAATGACTGACGGACAGGCATGCATGTAGAGATATGAATGCCCCCCCCCCCCCCTTGCTTACCTCAGGTAAGCTCCCCCAGGCTCTCCCATCTCCCTCCACCTGCGGGCTGTGAAGCCAGCCTGCAGTGGGAGGGGGGTTGGGGGGGCAGAGATCGATGTGGATTCTGCTCCCTTTGTCTTCTCATTAGCCAACAGTGAATCCATCTTTCTCACATTCTCCCCCCCCCCCCTCCTCCTATATCTGTGTTCTTCCCCTGTCCATTTGTATGCACCTCATACACAGGGTCTCTTCTATCGCCTTTCTCTATCTCATAGTTGGTTATTTTCTTCCCTCTCCTATTTTTCTCACCAGCCGGCCTGTCCCCATCAATTCCCTTTTTTGTCCCCCCCACCCGCATCTCATTACCACTCCGCCTCGCATCTGTTCCTGTACCCTCATTCACCTACCAGGCTCTCAGACGATGGTTCGAATATACAGTAGATCAGGCAACCTCAGGCATCTAATGGTCAAGGGGCTGCTGCTTCCTCATCAATGTTAATGTGTGAATGCATGAGTCACATTCTGAGCTATTCTAACTGCAGCTGGTCCCTGACAGTGTGACTCGGAAATGCAGGAGTTGAATGATGCTTGCTTTTGAGCCGTGTTTAAGTGGCCAGGATTTAGAGTGTCACTATCAGTATTAGTCCTACCTATCCATTTCAATTAGTCCTTCGCGGTGTTCTCCGTCTAATATTATTTTCGCAGCGTGGATAAGGTTGCTCCCTTTAGCTGCTCGTCGCAGTGTTAGCACATTTTGTGGCTTTGAATTGACATTTATGTGTAAAAATGACAAATATTCACTGTATTAGTGATTCATAGTAGGTGTGTGTCAGAGAGGGAGGAAAAGGGTGGGGGGGGATGGAGAAGGAGACAAAGTGCAGGTGTGGGTCGGCATGCCTGCGTGTGCAAAACCTCTTCTTTTCTCCACAGCGAGGTACGCATCTCTAAAATGATAATGCAAAAATTGACCCAGTTTGCAGGTAGCAGACAAATCCTCCGAGGCTGTGGCGAGAACACTGTCGGCCATCAAGATCTAAAAGGCTCAGACCCACTTCTCCAACGCGCCGTCCGCACTCGGCACAGGCGTTCTAGAGACGGGCTCAGGAAGAGGAAGTGAAGGCGGCGGACAGAGAGGCAGAGCCCACAGGCCTTTAGGGCCCAACTGTGGTGGGGATCTCAATGTTTTAACCTTTAGCGCAGATGGTTACATTTGCAGCTGCAAGAAATCGCGCCGAGAAAAATTGCAACCAAAAGCCACGAAAATGTACTTTTGTGATAATGCACGGCGAGAAATGTCTGGTAGCGGGATTGGCAACACTGTGCTGTTTGAAGTAAACAGCATCCGAGGCCTATTAAAGCTCTTTTCCTTCTGGCTCGGAAAATTTAAGGTGAGATGTCTCGATTATCATAACCCAAAGCAATAACTCAGAGTGCTTTGATTACCTCCCAGGTCCGTCACAACCCCCCCCCCCCTTTAGAAAAGTGTTGCTCTCAGCTTCCGACTGCAGCAGTGTGCCTGGCCAACTCATTACAGATGTCCCCGCTAATGGCTGACTGAGGCAGGAAAAAACACACACACACACACACACACACACACACACACACACAGACAGACACACACATGCAGCCCATTAAATCATCCCGCATCTGAGGCCATCTGCCAATTAGAGGGGGGAGATGTGGAACATCTTGGGAGCACGCGGAAGCAGCGGTGCACTGCGGTAGCCTCAGCCTACCCACGCGCGGCGCCCCGCGCTCCCATCAGGTGTTTGGCCTCGGCGGTTAGACGGGGTCCGCGCGTCCATAATTAGGAACCCCATGTTGACACGATCAAAGCGACAGCGCCGCGTTCCCATTTCGTCCACACAAGTCAGCCAGTGTTGTCCACCGATGCTCTCAACTTAGCAGGACGCCGGAGGGAAGGAACAGGGGACGCGTCGCTTTGCTAAATTGCCGTCCTCCCAAGATGAAAGTCTTCTTTGACTGCCCTGATTTGTTTTTTTTTGCCAGACCACCTACGCCACCGGACGGAAAATAAACAACCCGATCCGCGGCGCCGTAAAATAAATGATCACCTTGACGAATGGGCGTCCCCGAGCGTTTGAGGTGGCCCCCCCCACCCCACCTTTGTTGGTCAACGCCGAGGTCAATGGGCCTTCTCGCTCAGCAGGGTTGTTACCCGCCAGGTCGGTCGGTGTCGGTGGGTTCGGAGCCGGATCCCTGATACACCCTGCGTGATTGGTCTGTAGATGTTTAGTTGCTGTTAAGGGAATTGTTACTGAGAAATGAAAACGGGAGAGGGAGAGACAGATGAGCGATGGAGAGGGAGAAGTTGGAAAATAGAGGGAGGGGGAGGAAGAGGAGGATGCAAAGTGTGAAGGATATTACTGCAGGGGAAGAGGTGGGCGTAATGGAGAGATTGGAGGGAGAACACGCCGGAGAGGAGGGAAAGCGGAGCGGCCTTTCTGAGGGGGGGAAAGTGAAGGGAAAAGATTGATTGAGTTGGTCTGAAGTCAGGAGGGTGAAGGAGAGCGCGGGTTTCACCGGATGTGGAAGGCGGGTTATTTGGCCGAGTGTGTTGCAGCTGCCGTTTTTCTGACGAGGCAATACCCAAAGGAGTTGATCCGTGCTAATGCGGACGCGGGCCGGGTCTCCCGCGTGGGCCGATGCTCTGAGAAAATAGCGGCGGCCGCCGGCCCCACCTGCCCCCCCCCCCCCTCGACGGGTGAGGGGCGGTTGATACCTGATCACGCGCGTGTCCGCCCCGCCCGCTGCTCCATCTCACAGCCGTCTCGCCGATCTTTGCACACAAATGCATTTCATTCTCTGCTATTCAATCTACCATCTCACATTCACTGTACTTTGTACTTTTTAAAATTGCATTTTCTGTGATTGGTGTGGCATGAGAATGTGGAAGCTTCAGATTCTTGGCCAGCCTCGGACATCTAGATTAGTTTGATGATCTTTTATGTTGACAGTTAACTTGACATCATCACCTGGCTTCATTTTGCCGTGGTGGCGTCTCATCCACACAGCAGCGTGCCGCCCATTTTTAGCTCGTCGGACTCTGCTGCGAGTCGCGTAAATGGATGGAGAAACACTGAAAGGGTGGTTAATGGATCGTATGGATCCAAGAGTGGGTGAGCGGATCAATACATTTATATGGTATGGAGAGGTGAGTGGACCCTGGCTTAACAAAAAACACTGCACAGTGGCTTTTTGAGCAGCAATCAATACGAGTGCATCAGGTGATCAATGTCCAAATGTATTTCTAATTGCATTTCGCGGTGTGACAGTAAATTTCCATGAAGTATTCTGGTGGAGCTCAGGAGGCTTAGATGAATTGCCTTGGAACAGCCTGCCCGGGGATTGATTATCGCGGGCTTGTCAGTCGGTGCTCTGGGGGTTCACGCTCCACGGAGGCCACATTCACGTCAGCGCCAAGGTCTTGCGCCAGGTCTTGTAGCAGGGTCGCCCGCTGCAGAAGGCAAAGTTTAAAAAAGAAAGCAGGAGGCCGAGCGCAGATTAAACCCAAAGATGTTCTTGATTACTTCTGTTGGATGTAAATAAACTGTACGGCAGAAATAAAAAGGCTTTCGTCCTTACATACATTTAGAATGTGCCGGCTTCACAGATTCAAAGGTTAGGGGAGAGCAACGGTACACACAACATTTCTTCCAGGGTGTCTGTCGGCTCGTCTGTTTTCCACTTTTAAGCAAGCTAAGTAAAAGTGAACGGAGTATCCTCTCTCTGTAGGAGTGTTGTTCAAATTCAACCTGCATGGTTAAGAATTCTCTGCACTTACAGTCAGACAAAACAAGTGAGCACCGAGGTACTGATGTTCATTCACAGAGCTGTTGCTCTTGGAAAACTCTAATTCGATTCTACTTTGAACGTGGGTTAAATTGCAATGTGGGTGGGGATACAGATAAAACCTCAGGAGGAAACACTTAATCAGCCTGGAGTTTAATAGATGCGAACCGAAGGGAAATGATGAAAACCGTCACAATGAAATCGCCCATCTGGGGGGTTTTCTTTGTCTTCTGCGGTGCAGGTTGATCTCAGCCGGGCGTCCGGGGACTCACAGGGGTCCTCCAGGGAGCTCTAGGGGAGGTCCCCAGAAAAAACGTTCTCACCATAGTTTTACTTAGATCCCGGTTTTCTCCTTTAACCATCGACCACCATAGATTTTATTTTATTTTTGTGGGCCATTATAGCCCGTTCATGGCTCTGACTGAAATACAGAATGACGTTTAAGCGTGGTCGCCCGAAGCAATCGGCGTCTGTTTATGAGTCAGGAAACATTATAAATCCTCTTTCAGAAGATATTTACAGGTGAGCTTGGCTCGGTTCAACCAAGCAGTTTGTTAAACTATTCCTCTGATAGCAGGAAATGCTTCAAGACTTAATTTCCTCGTCAGTCATTTCAAGTGAAGTAATTTATCAAACAGACTTTACAATTGACTTGAGTTATTTTCAATATAATTGTGTCATGTTTCACAAAGGAAATCTCTCTGAATGAGATGGCAAAATAGAGCTTCAAAG